ATCTCAAAGAAGAACTCTTATTTTTCCATCTATACAGAGGCTGCTTTCCCAACACCATCAGCAAGACAACTGCTGCATTTGCCATTTTCTACTCCAACAGGTCTCATTAGGAAGAACTGTTTACTGTTGACAGTATTTGGAACTCTGCATTTGGAACAGAACATTATTTCTGCATTAAGAGTTCACAGTCCACTGGCAAGGTCATTACAATTAGCTCATGCATGTTTATTTGATTAATTTAAGAATTAAGACTTGTTCACTTATATAAATGGGTGGTTTTATATAAAATACTTCTCTATGCTTCTTAAAGCTTTGTTTCTTATTAATAGAAAGATGAAAGATCACTTCCATTGATAGAATCCTTGTAATATATAAAATAACAAATAATGCAGCAATAATAATAATGGGTTCAATATAAAACAATCGGGACAGTTATTAATAATTTCAATTTCCATTGCTTAAACAAGAAACCTTTGTGATTGAGACTAATTTAGCTCAGTTTTGCATAGCATGAATAGCCTACTTTAATGGGCAAATGAAATATCAATTGATTAAGTGACTATTAAAATAGTCAGTAGATATGCCAGGCAAGTATATTTACTGATAATTTAGTTAATTCCTTTAAAAGCTTACAAGGATTAATGAATTGCGAAGTGAATCTTTATGTACATGGAAAAAGTATATTTATAGTGTATTTGCAAAAGCACTAAGGTGATACTATAAATTAATATTATTACTTTTCTTTTAGATGTTTCAGAATATGCCAGTTTCACACTACAGGAGAAAGTGGCAAGTGAAAAGGCACATGTATATAACAACAGCACCAATATCTCATAAAGGAATAGAGGAAGCCAGAGGCCAGTGACGAGTTACAGAAATAAAACAAAGAAGAGATCCAGATAGCATTTTTAAATCCAAGGAAGCTGAATCTGATGTATGCTCTAATATTAACATCATTTTTTAAGGATGCAGTGATATAACTGCACAGGAATAACATATGACTTATAATGGACTATAATATTGACATGTGGGGAGTCCATGTGGAAGATGGTAAATGGAGAGAATAAAGTTGAAAGTATTGGTATCAGTTAAAAAAAACACCAACAAACAGGTCTTAAAGATGTATGGAATGCTGCATAGGGAACAAAAAATAAATAACATAAATATTGAGTTGGGTACGATTTTTTGGTGATGGTGATTTCCCTTTAAAAAGAAAATATAGGTAGTCAAATATAAAAATTAGGCTGACTGCAGTTCATCCTGGAGCAGCATAGCTAGAAAGTTTAGAATAGGATGGAATACTGAAGTACTGAAACTACCAACTCCCAAAAAAGTTTGTAATTATTTATTACTAAATCTGAAATAACAGCAGAATTTCTTAGCTTATAACTTTGCAAGAGAGTAATATTTCAACTTTTCATCTCAATTTATACACAATTAAAATGCTAAAATATTTAAGTTTTCCTGTAGGTTTTTGTATATTTGCTGTTTAAAGAAACTGGGTGGAAACTTTGGGAATTAAAATAGTGCTTGGATGTGCAGGAGAGAAGCAAAAAGATAAGTGGATACAAAGTAATTCTTTAGGATGTTCCTCAAAAGCAGATCATGTGCCTTCAGAGATTTATAAAAAAAATTCTGACAGATCTCCAGCTTCCTTCATCACAGGAAGAAAATGTGGAGAGGGAAAAGATATTACAGATGCTGCAACACCTACAGTCTGAACAAAGGAGACATCTTTTCTTTGGCAATAGTGACGAACAAGAGTACAACTCAAATTCCACTTTCATTTGCATTTTTGGGCCCCTTTGAGACCCCTTGAGACCACAAGAGCACAGCATCAGGTACAGCAGCAAGAATCCCTCTCCATCCAACTATTTTGCTCTGTGAAGGCCTTGAACTGTAGCCATGCTAACCATCTGAGCTCTACTGAAAGCAGAAAGGGAGTCTGTTCTTGAAACACAAGAAAGAAAATTTGCTGTGTAACTGACTGTTGGGAGGCCTAAGCTGCATTGCCTTTTCTGTTAAGACTCATTTCTCTTCACTGGTTATGTGCTAGAACTGCACTCAAGTACACTTTGCTAATTTTCTCTGCTAGGAAAAATAACACAGTTCTTGTAATCCAAACACAGAATTATTTTCACTCCTGTATTTGTCTCCAATTAATAATTTACCCATCTAATTACAGCAAAAATTAGGCTGGATGATTTATATGTTTCCAGAGGTACCTACTCCAATCCATTGAAATTGTCCCAGAGGTTAATCAGGGAACCCATGTCTGTAATAATGGACTATGTTATATAGTCAAATCATACGCTGAAACAGAAATGCATAACAGAAATTCTCTCCCATATTTTTATGGCAATTGTCTGCTTTCCCAGACAACTGGCAACCTGTGCAGGCTCTACAACACAATCTGTGTCATACCTCCGCACTGAATTCACCAGGCATTTGCAAAAACCTCCATATATTGATTTATCTTTCCAGGATTAACTTGGATTTCAGCATCTGAAATCTGTTAACTCCGCAATTACTCAGGAAGGGTGCAGATTCGATATCATCTACACACATTTATATTTCACCTAATGCTAATGCTGGTTAAACATAATTATTGATATCACTAGAAGGAAGTGTGATTTTTTAATTTGTTGTTGCTATGGCTAAAATAATATAGGACAAGAAATTAACCACAGCTGCTTGTGTCAGTAAAAGGTATGGAGTGTTTATAGCATAAAAGAGATGTGTCACTGTAAGAAACACTGTCATAAAACACAAGAGAACAACCTACAGAAAAACATTTCAACTGAATACAAAGGAAAAAAAGCTAATAATCAAAGGTATTTTTTCCTCCTTTTTAGCCTGCTGGATAAAATGCATCAGCTTGAACTCCCCCAAAAATCCAATAAAAATTATCATTATATATGCTGTGCCATATTTAAGGAAGCTGTCCGAGCAAAATATAATAACACATTAAAATATAAACTGAAACATAGTACTCTGAGAAGATAGAGGTTGAGGATCTGTGTATGCTAGACCAGTTTGAGAAAGATCCTCACTATATATTACTGTACTGAATATGTCAGACTTGTTATTCTTTTACTCATCACGTTTCCTGGCTGGTGAATGACATAAAATCAGAATCTAATACAATTCACCTTCCTCACTTCAAATCTCGGGATTTTTTTTCATGCTCTTCAGTTTTTTTCCACTGGAATTCAAGGTTAGAAAATACACCATATAGTTTTACTTCAAAAGGGCAAAGCAGAAGTAGAATTTTCAAAGTGAAGAAAACAAAGGAATGTTGGATTTTATAGGTTATTCTCCCTGATGAGCGTTCTCTGTGAATGCACTAGCATTTCGTGAAATAACAGTGCCCCCTAGTGCCTATATTAAGCACATTTTTTTCAAACTTATTTTGATTTTTCTTAATTAAAGCCACATACCAAAACAACACATTCAGTTTGGAAAAAAAACTTAGGAAAAAAAAATAAATTCTGTCTTAACTTAGTTAGCAGTTCTTAACAGGATTGTTTTTCCTATTAATATCTGGGGAACAAACAGATGAAATACATATACACACGTGCATATGCACAATTGGTGCTTATTATTACTAAAAATGTGATAGAATGAGGTAGATACTTTCTCTACAGCATCAAAAATAACACTGAAATATTACATTGTCTCAATAAACATTGACCATACTTAAAATACTGCAAAAATGAGAAAGTACATGGCAATAATTGCAAATACAATTTGGAGAACGGAGTGTGCACCACTTTAGTTTATAAACAAAGCATGTCTGATAGAGGCTCTTATTGAAGAGTAGGATGTATCAAGGTACAGTTTTCAGTCTTTCCTACAATCTTAATATCACTTTTGAGTGAAGCAAACATGTAAGATATCACAAAATCCAGAATAATTATGAAAGTCAACTCATTATCTGTGATTCAGAAGTGGTTAAAGTAAAATCCAGCAAGGAATAAGCTCTTGATGGAATATTGAAATCTACCTTGAACATTAAGGCTTTTGAAATATTAAATTTTCTTTGACTGTTTTAAAATTTTGGTTTTCCTAACAAGAGTTGTTATTAAGACTATTAAAATACAGAATGCTTTAGCACATGACTACAAAATATTTTCTTATGTCTGATTAGCTAAGCAATATTTTTAAAATATTATTTCAAACAGATATCTTCCTCTAATGCAAAATAGCTTTTAAGAAGCCCATCTTTAAAACTAATTACTATAACATATTTTAAAATATACATATATATCAGTTTGGTTTATAAAAACGGATCTTAAGATTCTAGCTGGACCTATAAAATACAAGTGTAAACCTATAAAAAAGTTTATCCTACCCTGCAACTGAAATTACAAAGCATTTCATATTTAGGTGATTATGTGCATTATTCAAGACATCTGTCAGCTAGTATTTGTAACTGATTAATTGGAGAACTGCCACATAAGATTACTTTACTTACAAAATATTTATGTTATCTAAATACTGCATTGTATTTAGTTTCCCAGCAACAGGTAGGTTTTATGTGGAATATGGAACAGTGGTGGAGGTGACAATTTTCCCCAACTCTGATACAGAGACCATCAGTTCTGCAAAGCCTTTGTGGACATACTGTAAAGTTTGAGCTGTTTCTGCACATTACTTACATAACTTGTGTTCAAGTAAAAATCAAGCCTTTTTCATACACATTTTAGAGCTTCTCAATTATTTTTTGATATATATGGCCCACTTTGTGTTCTTACCATTTCCTACTTTTATTTCCTGTAGCATGTTCACACACTTCAAGTTGTACCTAACCATGTAGAACTACTACTAAACTGGCACTGTCAGGCTAACATAAAGATATCAACTCTTTTGATAATATTTATTATTATAAAATAAAATGTTTCATATGGTGTTACAAAATTATACTGTACTTACATACATTATTTATTCAGCTTATCATTCTGCAATGATTCTCACTGTGGTTATACAGGAGTACTTACTTTTAAGATCTAAATTTCTCGCTCCTGCTGTACTCTGTGTTGTGATTTTAGTGTCAATCTTTACAGTGTGGAGATTGTTGGTATCCCTTGATATCATCACATTATGCCACTGGTTGTCATTCAGAGGTTTATTAGAACTTCCTTTGATGAGATTTGCACCATTTCCCAAGTCAAACACATAGTGTAGATACCTGGGAAAAGAGAAAAAAATGGAAAAGTTTCCTTTTTCTTTATATAGCCCGGGGGCATTAATTAATATGTCTAACATTTCATATTTCCTTGTACTCCTCAGTAGTGCTTGTAAAACCAGAAGACAACAATGAATGCCAAATGGGGAAGGAACCATCATTCAGAGAAGGCACCATTTGTTTAGATGAGCTGAGAGGCAGTCCCAAGTTTCTGGAAAGTAACGAGCACTCCATGTACCAACACACACATACATATGTAGAGTGAGAAAAAGAGGAGGGCTACAAACTACTACTTCTTTGTGGTAAACACAACAGAAGTTATACCTATTCTTTACTTTCACATTTTCAGGCATCTAGCTTCATCTGAAAGAAAAAGTCACAATAAGGCATGTGAAGTTTAACTTGAAAAAATACTCATCAAGCTTTTATGTCCAGTCAGATAAAGATTTGTATCTTAAACTTTCTTTTGTGTTTCTCCTGTATGTATATTTTGAACAGACCTCTTTTTTCATTATGCTAATCCATACATACCCTTTTACTAATTCAACCACAATGAAATCATTTCCATCGCCACTGTTATAAAGTATTAATCCATCCAGAGAAGTTGTTTTGAACTGGAAAAAAAGGTGCATAGATGTATATGCTTGTAGCGTGGCCAGTGCAACATAACTTGCTTTTGTTTTAAAGGTTACAGGGTCTGCTATGATGTTCCTGAACCCAAATCTTGCATTTAGCTCACAATAATCGATGTCTCCATTTTTACATAAGTCAATATATGCCATGCCATTAAATGTAAGACTCTGTAGATGCCCAATGAAATTAGAAGGCACAGAAGACAGGTAACGCCGTTCTGTTATTATTCCTGTTTCTATGTTGTGGAATTCCAGTCGTGTGTGATCACCAGCCATTTGACCTTAAAACAGTAACAAGAAAACACATGTTAGCATCTGAAATGAGAAGTCCAAAAGCACCCCATGTGATTAACTATCTTCTTTTTACACTTTTCAGAATGTGCAAGGCCAATTCTTGGCTCTCAAGAGGTTTCTTCTAAATTAATCCAAACTACTGGTAAACATCTAGGAGCCTTTCCACTGAGTTCATTATGTTCGCATAAGGCAAACAGCAAGATTTCTAAACAGAAGCACAATACCACAGTATATGAAATTGCCAAAGAAACCCCTCACTTTAGTCACACTTAACTGGACGTGGTCTTACTATAAACAAGTGCAATTAATTCACACAACACAAAGAAGACAAATGCAAATCTTAGAGCAAAAACTGCAATGTTAGAGCTTCATGGAAGAGAGGCATAACAGTTTGGAGGATATCACTCCATGCTTCTTGTTTAGAAGATAATGATTTGGAAGAGGAAAGAAGGATTCCTGTTTAAGCTGTCTTACATAAGTTATTGCTGTTCCTGTTCCAAACCCTGTGCTTCAAGGGTAGACAGATGCTTCCTTGAAAGCAACTGGATTTGTACCACAGGGATAAACTGCGGGAGAAGGGGGCAGAGCCCAAGACATAAAGAAAACAGAAAGCCTGCAGCAAGGGTGTCTGCCAGCGTCTTGTAGTCCTGAAAACAGCAAGACACTTGCTTAAATCAGAAAGATGGCCAAAACCAAGCCTCACAGCTACTTTTAAGACTTTGTCATGCAAGGATTCCTACGCAGCAGAAAGTCTGAATTTTGCTGACTGCAAAGCTAACCTGAAGGAAAGGATCAACACTGCCAGGGTACACTTAATACAGGTCATGTAAGTTTTGAAGCTAGTTATTAAATACCTTACCCAGCACATAAAAATTGTGCCTACTAAAGAGTTCTTCTCTTTTCTAGCAGAGCTTAAGATTGAGGTTTATTCCCATGCTTATTTTAAGGAAGTAGGGCAGTGATATCACAAGGCTGATTCACGGTCATGTTGTGTGGGTATAATGACAAACCAGCTTTTTATTACTAATCAATTTTACCACTTAATCTACCTTTTGGAAACCATAGAGCAGATTTCTCAGTTCCTTTGATGTTTCGTATCTTTTCTGGAGTACAAAGAAGGCAAACAGCAGACCCAGCCAAGCTGGAAAACTACTGGCATAAAACTGCTCTATAATACAAGTTTGCCCAGTTGCAGTGCAAAGGTGTTGACAGGCTGCATTCCCTTCATCCTTCCCTAAACATACTGTTCTAAGAGCAGAGTGTGAGCTCTAAGCCAGGCTGGACATGTTTAGTAGAGGTGCAGAAAGTCCTGAGATAGGTTTTATAAGCAAGTGTCTGTGTATGCATGTGTGAACAGGGAAAGGACAAGGGCAAGATGAATGTAGGTATTTGGGCTTTGCCCAGGGAGATGAATTCACAAACAGGTTCAGTCACAGCACTGACACACCAGTACAGGTTTAAGTGAAGTTACAATGGAAACAGGTCTGTAAGCGTTAATACAATTTTTAAAAAGTTTTATAATTTATGATAAATATTTACAAGCAGATTACTTAGATTCAAGATGCATTCTGACCTAAATATACTGATGTCATTGAACAACATCAGCATCTGGGATCTACAGTCATACAGGCGGAGCACTTCAAGAGGCACCCTAGTCCCTAAGGACAGCCACCTTGATGTTTTTGTTTCTAAACATCAGTTCTGAACCACTTCTTTTGATGTATTAGGAAAGGTTCTTCCTTGCAGGAATGAGTCAAGGAGCTGTCTTCAAAAACTCAAAAAATGCAACTTTCTCTGAGGCCAAGAGCTGTATACTGGATCACAGCCAGGCAGCTGAAGATCATGTTTTAGAGGAGGAACATTATGTTTTCAAGCCTTGTATTACTTCAGATGGCATCGCATAAATGTCATGGCAAAAATCCACTGTTCTTTGGCCTGTAGCACAGTATCCTCACTACATTCACTACTTTAAATGTAATTCTTTCTTGAGCACAGTAATAAAAATGTTCCAGAATCTGGGCTGACATCCTAAATCTCCCTCTAACATTTCAGTTGTACAAACCACCTGTATGACTTCCAATGAAAGCTAGATATTATTTGGAAAGGTATTATTTATCCATGCACAAATTATGCATTAATCAAAGATAACTAAGCTCCGTACATGGATGAACAGGTGATATTTCAAAACCTATAAAAAATTAAAAGTGAGGGTGAATTATTAATTGGCTTCATCTTCAGCTCAAGCTTTCTAGATCTGATGAGATTTTTTCATATGTGGAAATGGAATAAAAACCGGAAAACACAGTGCCTGGTGGGGGGAAGCTGGAATTTTTGGAGAAAAGCACATTTTTTCCTCAAGCTCCCATAAGATTATAATGATCTTTCACATAAGTAACTACAGAGTTATATTTCAAACACATTTCTGATTATTAGGACATATAAAGAAAAGTTCTAAGCAGTTTAGAGCAAGAGCACTCCAATCTGTTATGGCAACTCTTTCACTATCCCTTTAGGAAATGCAAATGTAATATTCATGGGACTAACAGCAGGTTTTCCATGTTATCAAATTTTCAGGTTCCTTCTAGCTCCTTCTCTCATGCTAGTTCCCTCCTCAGTGATGGAGGAGGCCACAGATGGGCAGCATGGATTCCTGCAAGGAATTCAGGAGGACTTTTTGCCTCCAAAATACTGGGATGACTTTCTTCCCTTGGATGAAGAACCTTAAACATCTGTGGATTATACAAATGTAGGCATCTTCCAGTTTTAAGAACTGAGATGGATTTTAAGTCAACTTCTGACCAGCTTGCAGTACAGATACTGGCATGTGGAAAGAATACAGGTGTTGTACCAGAAAGTTGGACCCACAATGAACACTTCGTGTGATTAGGAGGCAACTGAAGGGAAAAAACACACTGTCTTTGACAGCTAGAATAGACTATTTCAGTTGCAAGGGACCAACAACTGCCTGACCACTTCACAGCTTACCAAAAGTTAAATTGTTGTTACAGGTATTGTTCAAATGCCTCTTAAACACTAACAGGCTTGAGGCATCAACCACCTCTCTAGGAATGCTGTTCCAATGTCTTAGCTGTTTGCTCAGAACATGATATTTGGCAGTAACTAGTTACCTGCAATGGAGAGACATTACAAGAACTTACAGTCCTACATTCTTATTACTTCACTTCACTTGACTACATACAACAGAAAACTCCTGTTTTCATCTTACTCCTTGAAATAGATTTTGAATATTTCTGAAGCTGTGCTGAACAGCTGGGACAGAACCCAAAGCTTAAAACAGTACTTCTTGGCAGTTTTGTACCCTGTAGTATTTGTAAATAAACAATCTGCCACGAGGAGTACAGGAAATCTGCATTTGTTTTTAGACACTTTATTTTATTGGATGTAAACTGCTTCCTCTAACTAGAAAATGTTCCCAAAGTAGACTTATTGCCTGAGTTGCCAGTTGAAGGAGAAAGATTATATTTTTCAGTATATTTTTTTCCAGTACTATATATTTATTTTCACAAATAAAATAACTGGTTTAGGTCATCTGCTTTTTTGGGAGAATGACTCAAAGCATCATCACGCACACAGACTGAATTTTTGCTTCACCTCTGGAATACCTATTGGTAATTCCTGATTCTAGAAAGTATGTTTTTGCAGCAAAATGAATATAAGAATTATTTTTCTACCAGTAACATGGTCTTAAGTGTTCTGCTTAGGTGAACAAAAAGACTATTAAAGAAGGTGCTTTCCTTTTGAAAATCAATTTGAATTGTTACCATTTTAACAAATCTTAAAATTAATGACAAAAGCTATTTAATACTACTTGAAAACAAAATAACATACTAAACAGCTAACATAAAATTAGGCATATTTTATTGTACATGCAATCAGGACCTGAAGCCAGGTCTGTTGCTATTATCGACATATATGTAATATATAACAGAAAAAAATCAAAGTCTTCTCTGCCATTTCGGGTAACATATACACAGGAATGTATTTTTAACATCTGCTAGCATTCATGCTATTTTATTTTCTCCCATCACAACTGCTATTTTAGTACTTCAGAAAAATCTGTTGTTTAACATTTAATTATTGAGGACAGTTGATTGCAAGATTTAAAATACAGTAGAATATCCTCCCAACATTTACGAAATTGTTTCTTACAGCAATGGCTTAGAGTTTAACCTTAGTTTAAATTCAGTGTGTCACCAAAAGCATTTTACTTGCTTTCTCATCAAATTCCTTCTCACCAGTTACTTTATAAAAACATTAATTTATGTCAACATGGAGGTTTTCATCAATTTCAACAGCAATGTTGGAGGAACATTAATACCAAGTGCTACTACTTGTAGTAGCAGCATTTCAAGATGCGTAACATGGATTTTTTTATCTTAACCCGAAAAAGAAAAAAAGGGATCTGTTGATTTAGATAAATGGATTTTACTTGTGTCACTTTTTGCTTTGTGTTTCCCCCCTCTCACATGAAGTCACAATGCCACACTACCTGTCATGGCCTGCTGGTCATCCACCATTAACTTTAAACTTTTTCCTCGCCGAACCACACGCACTGTGTGCCACTCATTATCATTGAGGTTATAGCCAGCAAAAAGGGTTTCTGGACCTTTGCCTGTAGGATATGCCAAACAGTCATTATGCAATCTTTAAATCAGTTTACTTGTGAACCTCACAGAGAAAGAGAGACAGAGAGACTGGTTGGGCAAATGTTAAAAGTCACATCAAGCAAGAAAATTACAAAGTATAAGAAAACCTCAAAATAAAGAGCTACTACGTTAAAACACTTCTATTATTTATTTAACTATATAAATGTATTGTATATGCACATTTAATTAATCTGGTTGTCATAAATAGGCACAGTCAACATGGATTTAGTTATGCATTTTCTAGTAATGAACAAGTCTTTAAGAAATGGGATTACTGCAGCCAGAGGAACTTCAGCCTGTGTTTACAACTCCAGATTTTGTTCCTCATTGACACAGTTTTGGGGAAAGGTGCTGTGTGCATGTTTGTTACATTTTTCTTAATCTATGTTAGCTTCTCAGCTTATGTTTATTAAGCCTTCCCAAAAGATCATATATTACCTTATCCTCCAGATGAATTGTTAATATTCAGATCCTGTACATTCTGGTGGTAGCAGAATTTTAAATCGCTCCTTTTTTGTTTAATGGATGCCTTTTTTGAGTACTCTGCTATTTTTGCAAGCAGTACAATAAACAGTTTTGAAGCAAATATAATCCTACATACAGCACAATGTATTTGCAAGAACCAAAGTATTCACAAATCTAGGAAACAGAGTATCTTTGATACCTAGGGAAAAATCTCTCAGAAAAAAATTATTATGGAAATTGCCCCTTGCAGTGTTGATCAAGAAGAGAAAGAAAGAGAGAAAAATCCTGACTATGAACTACCACTGATATGAGTAAGTGATTGACCAAGGACTGACCCAATCAATCAAAACTTCTGTGCTCAAACCTCAGTAATTGGACCTATGTGTTGACTGTCTGAAAGGTAAGGCCAACCTAGAATTAACTAATTACCCTTTTGCATGATAGCAACCTCTCTGGCCTGTTTTTCAGTTCCTGTGGTATAATACAGGCTGCTACTAATGAGTTGTATAATAAAGTAACATTTTACATTAAAACATTAGGGTTACATGGAGACAGGCTTTTCTTTTCCACCTAGTGCAGGCTAACTGTGATGGAAGAGGCCCATTAGTAACTGAGTACTGTATGACACTGCCTAAAATCAAAGCCTCTCTGACTGCAGTGTAGCAGTTGTTCAGCATATTGTAACAGTTCTCATCTTAGACTTCTTCCATTATCCTTTTTTTTTTTTTTTTTTTAAATCAGCAGTTTTTTAATTGCTGCTGGTTGAATGCCCTGCATTTTTTGTTACTTTGAACATGCCAAGGGATCTCCAGGAATAAAAATACTAGCTACAGCAAAGGCACTGGGATTCTGCTAACATCATGTTGCCTTCTTTATGCCTCTGTGTTGACACTAGGTTAGGAAAGGTGTGCAAATCCAGCAGAAAGAGATGTATATGTACTCACTGCTGTCAGCTACCTGAATTGTTCTGTTCCTTATGTGTATACTTTCTCTGACAAGAGAAAGACCGGTTTTGCATAAAGCTTAAGTGAATAATGTTCTTTTTGGATGCGGTGATATAGATGCAGTGAATTGCTCTTTAAGAGATTTCTATATTTTATTGGAGGCTTTAATGGAAGCAATTTCTAACTAGATTTGGGAGACAAGGGATGGATTTACAAAAGATGCTTAAAAAACATGAGTAAAAAATCTTAGTTACTTCAACTCTTTTTTTATGGTGATATTTTAAGTAGCTGAACTACTCAGTCTCCTTTATCTCGCAATAGATATCTAGAAGACATAAACATTAATTTGCTGTTGCATTAACAACCTTCTGTTGTGTTCCATTCACGCAAGGGTGCTTCAGTGTATTTAAATGTCAAATCCAACTTGCCTGCTCACATTCATACAGGGAAATATGTCTATTATCTTTTAATGGTTAGAGACTTGAAACTCTCCCTGATGCAAAATTAAATGTATAGTCTACTTCCTTTGCAAGAGTACTCCAAGTAAAAAAGTCAGGTCAGAACCACCTACGAGCTACCTTTGTTTGCAATGTATGCAATCAAAAACTGGATTAAAGGGAGATATGGTGAAACAGCTACGAAAGGAACAAACTTGGCTATAACATGCCATGGAAGGAATGAACTAAAACCAGTCCTGGCCTTGCAGAAACTAGCTATCTTGCATGGAAAAGATGCTTTTCCTTCCTGAAGTCAAACTCAAACAGAGAAGAGGTGTTTTTGCTTTGTCATAGAGAGTGCAAAGAATTACAAAATAGGAAGACCCAGCGTCCAGGTATCATGCATGTGCCTGTCACATCATGTCTCATCTCTGTAAAGTAGCGTAGATTTTCCATGGCAGCTGGAGAGGTGGGTGGGGAAGGACAGATGCTCACCGTTCCTGAATAGAAGGTAGCTCTTGGGCTGCTTTCTGGCCAAAAACATGCTTTTGCATATAAAAGTAGTAAATGTGCTTGGGAGTAGAGTATTTAGGAAAAAAACCCTAAATGCTTAAGCACAAAAACATGATACCACACAAGAGGTACAAATACCTCAGAAGGAAACTCTTAACATACCTTGTAAAATGGTACTTTCCTTGCTGACTTTCATATACATTGACCTGAAATTTATTTGAACATCATATGATTGAGATAATCACAGTTCAGATTCTTTTGCTCTTCTTTATAGTGCTCTAATTTATAGTGAATCTACTACTAATCTAAATGCACTAAATCACTGGCTCTCCAGTCTACCTCAGACTTTATAGTGATCTGATTCAACTTCATCTAAATCACAGCAGCAGAAGGTGCTATTGTATGCAAATAAAAATCATGATATTGCCGGTTCTTTGGGGGTTGGGCTTTTTTTTACCTTCTTTTCTTTAAAAATATTAAATATACCCCATGAGAAGAAAAGGAAGAGTGGTGGGGTTTTTTTAAGGTATTTTCTTCTGTTTTGTACACTACCCTTCCAATATTATGTCTCTTCACTCATTTTCCTCATGCTGTCACAGAATCACAGAATGTTAGGGAATGGAAGGGACCTCAAAAGATCATCTAATTCAACTCCGCTGCCAGAGCAGAGTCACCTAGAATAGGTCACATGTGTCCAGATAGGTTTTGAATGTCTCCAGCGATGGAGACTCCACAACCTCCCTGGGCAGCCTGTTTCAGTGCTCTGCTACCCTCACAGTGAAAAGGTTTTTCTTTAAATTGACATAGAACCTCCTGTGTTCCACTTTGCCCCTTGTTCTATCACTGGACATCACTGAGAAGAGCCTGGCTCTGTCCTCTGGACTGTTGTCCTTTATATATTTATAAACATTGATGAAGTTGCCCCTCAGTCTCCTCCTCTCCAAGCTGAAGAGACCCAGCTCCCTCCCCTCAGCCTTTCCTCATCAGGGAGATGTTCCACTCCCTTAATCATCTTTGTAGCTCTGCGCTGGACTCTTTCAAGCAGTTCCCTGTCCTTCTGGAACTGAGGGGCCCAGAATTGGACACAATATTCCAGATGCAGCCTCACCAAGGCAGAATAGAGGGGGAGGAGAACCTCTCTTGAGCTACTAACCACATCTCTTCTAATACACCCCAGGATGCCATTGGCCTTCTTGGCTACCAGGGCACATTGCTGGCTCATGGTCATCCTCCTGTCCACCAGGACCCCCCTACACTACTCTCCAACAAGTCAGCCCCCAACCTGTACTGGTACATGGGGTTGTTCTTTCCCAGATGCAAGACTCTACACTTGCCCTTGCTGAATTTCATCAAGTTTCTCCCTGCCCAACTCTCCAGCCTGTCTAGGTCTCACTGAATGGCAGTACAGCTTTCTGGTGTGTCAGCCACTCCTCCCAGGTTAGTGTCATCATCAAACTTGCTGGCAGTGCACTCTGTTCCCTCATCCAGGTCACTGATGAATATATTGAATAGTACTTGTCCCAGTACCAACATCTGAAGGACTCCACTAGATATAGGTCTCCATCTGGGGTCTGTCCCATTGAGCACAACTCTCTGACTTCTTCCCTTCAACCAGTTCCCAATCCACCTCACTCCAGACCACACTTCCTCATTTTAGCTATGAGGATGCTTTGGGAGATGGTGTCAAATGCTTTACTGCAATCAAGATAAACCATATCTACTGCACTACCATCATCTGTCCACCTGGTTATGTCCTCATAAAAGGCTATCAGGTTGGTTAAACATGACTTCCCCTTGGTAAAACCATGTTAACTGCTCCTAATGATCCTCTTATCCTTGATATGCCTAGCGACAGTGCCACAGATAAATTGTTCCATCACATTTCCAGGGATGGACGTGAGGCTGAGCAGTCTATAGTTACTCGAGTCCTCCTTCTTGCTCTTTTTGAAGACTGTAGTGACATTTGCCTTCCTCCAGTCCTCAGGGACCTCTCCTGTTCCCCATAACTTACCAAAGATGATGGAGAGTGCCCTAGCAATGACTTCTGCCAGCTCCTTCAGCATCTGCGGCTGCATTCCATCAGGACCTATGGATTTATGGATGTCCAGATTGCTTAACTGATCCCCAATCCTCATCAACCAGGGCAAACTCCCCCTTTTTCTTTATTTCCTCTGGGGCCTCAGGGGTCTGGGCCTGTAGCTCTGCCTTGTTTGTATCCTCTGTCATCAGGGCACCCACCTCATTCAGCAGTGGGCCTTACTGCTTCTAGTGTTAATTTTGTCTGCAATGTATTTGAAGAAGCCCTTTCTGTTGTCCTTGGCCTTTCTTGCAAGGCTTAATTCCAAGAAGGCCTTAGCTTTCCTGGTTATCCTCCTAGATCCTCTGACAACAGCCTTATAATCCGACTAAGTAGCCAGCCCCTCCTTCCATGATCTCTTTTTCCACTTAAATTTGCCAATCTTTAACCAGGTGGGTCTCTGGGCTCCCTTTCTTGATTTCCTATCTGTTGGGAGGCTCTGATCTTGAGCTTGGAAGAAGTGGTCCTTGAATATTAACGAACTATCTTGGTCCTCTTTACCATCTAGTACCCTGTCCCATGGGATTTCC